CACACACACACACACACACACACACACACACACACACACACACACACGCATACACACAACCCCGTGACAATGTTACACAGCACAAAACGCATAATAAGTCCCTCAAATCGCACACTGTTTTAAAATTATTAATCATCACTGAGTTATTTCCAGTAATCGATGACGACGACTGGAAACCCAATAAAAATCTGAAGAAATTATCATCCGGCGGGTGAGTTTTCATAGCGTTTTTCTGCTGATTTTCTGCTCTTCCATCTTTTTGATATTCTTAGTATTTTTAATTTTCTTGGTTTACAGGAAGCCCTCGAAAAAGCTGCAAAAGTTGTCGACGAGCAGGTGAGTTTCCAAGACCATTCTTTTCTAGTTTTTTATTTTATTTATCTCATGTTACTTTTACCTTTCTTCGCTCTTTTGCAGGAAACCATCCGAAAAGCTGGAAAATTTGTCGCCGGTCAGGTCAGTTTTCATGACAACTCTTTTTTCCTAGTTTTTTTGCTTTATTTGTCGTGTTATTTTTATTTTTCTTTATTCTCTTGCAGGAAACCCTCAAAAAAATTGGAGAAATCATCGCCGGGCAAGTGAGTTTCCAAGACCAATCCCTTTTTCCTATTTTTCTTGTTTTATTTACCTGATTTCTTTTGTTTTATTTTATTCTTTGCTGTTTTGCAGGAAACCCTCAGCAAAACTGGAAAATTTATCGCCGGTCAGGTGAGTTTTCAAGACCATTGTTTTTTTTTTTTTTTTAGTTTTTCGCTTTATTTTTTTTTCTTTTTACTTTTATTTGCTGTTTTGCAGGAATTCATCGGAAAAACTTGAAAATTTAACGCCGGACAGGTCAGTTCTCATGACAACTCTTTTTCAAGTTTTTATGCGTTTTTTGCAGCTGTGCAGTGCAGAAAACGCCTATTGAAATGGGGTTGTCTATGTGTCCGTATGTCTGTGTGTGCGTCTGTACCGGTTTTTCATCTCAAGACCTATAAAAGTTACGGGGCTGAAACTTTGGGAAATTAGTCTGCATACACGTACAGGCCTCAATCGCCCTTACCCGCGTGGTACCCACGTACGAGCCCGCCAAAGTTCTTTACGGGTAAGCTGCTAACTCGAAAACCAGAAGTGCTGAAAGGCTGAAATTTTAAGGCGACATTCACCGTCCAATTAGGTATTAACGTGCTCAATCCCAGTCTGCGGCTATGCGTGGTACTCACGTACGGGCTTGCCAAAATTTTTTTCGGGTAAGTTGTTAACTCGGGAATCTGAGAAGCTGGAGGACTGGAATTTTAAGGGGATGTTCCCCATCCAAGTGAATATTATTGCGCTCAAACCCAGCCCCTGGGTGTTCGTGGTAACCACGTGCGGTCCCGTGAAAGTTTCTTTTTCGGGCAAGTTGATAAATCGGGAACCTGAGAAGCTAGAAGACTGGAATTTTGATGGGGTGTTTCCTGGCAATCCTGACGGGCAGCCTGAAATTCTTTTAGATAGAAGCATCTGCAGGAAAAAACAGTGCCGTTAGCGACATCTTCGGGGAGCTATGCAAAAAACACATCTTCGCGTGGGTAGCCCGTACGTTGGCCAATTATTTTTTCTTTATTTGTCTGATGTTGCTTTTATTTTTCTTTGTTCATTTGCAGGAAACCTTCAAAGAAACTGGAGATTTTATCGCCGCGCAGGTGAGTTTTCAAGACAACTCTTCTTTTCCTTTCTTTTTCACTGTATCTGACGTTTTCTTTGCTCTTCTTTGTTCGTTCACAGCGATTTTCGTTGCTTTCCAGTTGCAACATACATTTAGCATTTCATAGGACAGGTGTGAAATGAAGTACATTCATTTTCCATTTTTATGCGTTTTTTTGCAGCTATGCAATGCAGAAAACGCATGTTGACGAGGGGTTGTCTGTGTGCATTTGTGTACATCTGTAGCGGTTTTTCATCTGAAGACCTGCAAAAGCTACAGGGCTGAAAGCTTGGGAACTTAATCTACATGAACGTATGGGCCCCAGTCCTCTAAGAGAGGGCTGTTGCCCGCGTGGTACCCACGTACGAGCCCGTTGAAGTCTTTTATGGGCAAGCTGCTAACTCGGGAACCAGAAATGCTGGAAGGCGGAAATTTTAAAGGCGTCCCCCGTGCACGTACGTATGAATGAGCTCAAAACCAGCCCTCGTCTATGCGTGGTGTCCACGTGTGGGCACGTGAAAGTTTTTTTTTTGGTAAGTTGCTAACCCGGGAACCTGAGAAGCTAGAAAACTGGAATTTTAAGAGGTGTTTCCTTATGCTTCTGGCGGCCAATCTTAATTTGTTTAGCTAGAAGCATTTGCCGGAAAAACTGGTACCGGTAGCAACAAAAACTGCGGGGAGCTATGCAAAAACGCATCTTTGCACGGACAG